GTCTGTGGGTTCAGAACGAGGATAGGGATGAAGGAACATGACCAAATAAAGGCTTAAAAGGAAACGACGTTCAGACTTTGTTATCTTCATCATGCTTCATTCCGACCAGATGGGTCTTGATTAGGGTGGTAGGAAAAGTAATACTACAGTTCTCTCCAAAGGAGTGAACGAAACGGTGTCGCTGTCTCAAATAAAATTGGCACTATTCGATGATTGCCAAAGGTCGCAAGCAGTATGTTGACGAACGGCTTGTCATTCCACTCTATTAGGAGAGGCACCTATGAGACGGCACTAGCTTGTAAAAAGCCACTCCTAATGACAACTTCTAAAGATCAGCGTGCATATCACGTTTGCCGAGCAAAAGGCAGCTTGAATAATAAGCACCATAAAGAAAGTCGGGAAGGGATGACCCGCAGATCACCGAATCGAATCTCGGCAGCAGTAGCTGCATTTTCAATGGAGGCGAAAATGATGTAGGCCTGTGTGCTCAGCTTCGGGTGCATGTTAAAGAACCTCAGATGGTGGAAATTTCCGGCACCTTCTACTACGGCATCTCTCATAATCATATTGTGGTTTCAGACGTTTAAAACTACATCTCAATTCATGTCGGGAAGGGAGATCCTCATAAATGTAGATATTTCACTGCATCCCCTAAAATTCCACAAAGGGCTGCTGAGAAAAACACCACATCACTCTAAAGGAACCATGTGGCTATGTGAAGCAGCGCTAGTGTTCATTTGTGCTTTCGTTTGTTGCTTTCATTTGTATGTTTCCGTTCATGCTTCCGTGTGGAGCTGTGTATATGGTGTGTGCCACTCATGCTACCCCCTCCAATTTCTGTGTATTATCATGTGTGCACCGCAAAGTGAACACCAAGCACTGCTAGAAGAGTTAACGGAGAGACCGCTTGCAGCATTAAAAATAAGCCACAGTTGTGGCGGACAGCTAAACGGAAGACGAGAAACGAAGTGGAGGCAGTGCTGTGCCAACACCTCGCGCTCGCGCTAGGAGATCGGCGAGAGTTGGCGCATGCGGAAAGGGCAAGCGGACGATCGCTGAGGGACGAACACCGCTTCGAACAAAAGCTGCTTCGCATCTAAAATTGGCTCATCCCTCATTTTAGGAATCGGCATAACCCGAAAGTGAAAAGTTTGTTCACAGAGGTAGTGAACCATTTCTTGTGCATAGTTTCATTACAAAGGCGAAAGAATGAATGCTTTAGCAAGAAATTGCAATGTCACGCCAACAAAGGCAGGCAGCGCGTATCTCAAGCACAAAATCACACATGAACTAAGTATACAGAGGACGAGCGTGGACAACTGTCACCGCTTGATCGTTCAACCATGCTGCTCAAACAGGAAAATGGGCAAAACGAACGCACAAGTATACACAGGACGAGCGCGAGCGATCATCACAATTCCTAGGCCCACGTGTGTGAGCAGCGCACTTGTTTTGTCAACACGGCCACGCAGCAAGTGATCTCAGCGATATTAAACCGCTGTAACTTCCAAGCAATGTTGCGGTGGAAGCGCAGAATCTACAAGCGCCCAAATCCTGAGATAAGCGCTCGCACAAGTGAACATCCATACCACGCATGGAGGAAGGCAACAACTTAGGAGGGGCCCTGACGCCACTCATTATGAAGCCGTGTTGAAGCTGGAAGTCGGCGATATTGACTGGGCGAATTCTCCTATCTTGTTTACATACGAATGTAAAGCAGAAGACGCAACTCTCTCTCTGGCTCGAAAAGCCCGTGGGCTGCGCAGGGCACGTATTGTGAATATCCGTAACCAATAGAACGGGGCTCAACACTCTGGGCCAGCGCGACACCTTTGGGGAAACCATTTCGTCCAGTAACAGCTCGCCGCAGTAACAGCCAGTAACAGCTCGCCGACAACAAAGCAAGTAGAAGAGAATGTGTGCTAGACTTACTGACAACGGCGAGTGCTTTCACGTCATGAATTCAGCAACTGTACAGGCAACACAATCGGTCGTGCGCCTTCTACGGTTGAATTGTGCCACGTGGGTGACGCGGCACCCGGCCACTAAGCACGTGTTCCGCATGAAACTTGCCGGTGTCAGCATTCGGCGACCGAGGTCACTTTGACTACGGTGCAAGTGGCACTTGAACATGGTTGATCTAACGTTGAGAACACAATGCTGGGGGCGAGAATAACAAGCGGAAAAGAAAATGTGGTTTAATACGCAGATGCTTGTTGTTACTGTACACATACCGAACACGAAACTACGTATATGTGCATGGTTCTCATTACGTCTTGCTGGGCACAAGAGTTTCATCCGTTGTCGCAAGTATTAGCACTGTCCAACCGTCACTGACCTGCAAGGCACTCGTCGTCGTTCCGCTTCGTCATGGTGCCTAACGCAATTTCGCTGAACACTTCAAATGCTTCATCCCCGTCTTCCGCCACACGACACGTGGATATGCGCTTGCACTATCGAGGCCCTGTGGTGAACAAAAGGTTTTGTAAACATTGCTAGGAGTACAGTAACTGCCAGGAGAACACTGCGTAACCAATGACGTGGCGCAGAGCACGGATATATTCTGCCACAGCTCAGCATAAGATTTACAAAGGTACACATGCCATCGTCAGCAGCTGCCGCTCACTACTAGACCAGCTACACCGTGCAACACGTAACCATAGCAACACCGCCATTGTGTCCAGTGATAATGGCCGCCATGGTGACATATGCTCCACACTTTTCACGTAGCGCGCCGGCACGGCATGCCCTCTCCTATCTTTCCTTCGTCTGTGATACCACGCCAGAGAACATCTATACGTACTTTCACCACACCATGTTATGGCGCGCGCTCATATGGCGAATTCAACTCGTCGAGTGGGTGCAAGTTTTTTTGCTCCGCGGCCGAGAACCTGTATTCCACTGGTAGATTTGAAGCAAGTTCGCGTGTTCCACTGACAGATTAGGAGCAATTCCTTCCGTGATGGAGCGTTTCGCGTGCTCCGTCTTGCAAAGACGGATTTTGCCGGAATTCCGAGATTACGTTGCCGTCATTTCCGGCACAGTCGGGCAGTGCTGTTGCCTGCAGCTGCCTTGAGCATTTTTTTTTCTTTTTCGGTGCAGTGCCCTCTTCACGGGTTTAAATTTCTAAAATGGCATTGTTTGATTCTGTTAGACGTGCTGCTGCTGGTTTCCTTCTCGTTTTGAGTGACAGCGGAAACACTAGTAGCAGCAGCGAGGTCGAGTTGCATATGCTTTCCCGCTATGTGTATGGCTGAAGTCTCGACCGAAGATAATCGACTATGCTGAGGAAGTTTTCAGGACTGGTTCAGTGACGTATGTGTAAACAACTTCCGGCGCGACCTCAGGCGGGGCATCCAAGTGTTTCACTCGCAGATCTGGATGGGCGCGATCCGAGTGCTCGCTCCAGGATTTTGGCGGCTGCTCCGAATCTATCAATAAAATTTGCCATTAGCAATGCGCAGGATGGTGCAAGGCAACGACTTTAGAGCGTGCGCGCGCCCCTGGTGCCACCTCGCTAATGATCATGAGAAGGCGCTGAAGTTGCTGAGCTCTGAGGACAACTAGTGGTACATAATTTACATAAATGGGTTGCCGTTAACCAGCTGAAAAACTTGGCCTTTGTGGTCTAGTGATTTTCAGCTGGCGCTACAGAGTGAGAAGCCACTGGCTCCACGCCCCACAGCAATAGTACATCTCATTTTTAGATGCGAACTATCTTGTGCTTGAGCTCATTTCGGTGTGTGGCATGACCACCATTACTATGCATGCGTGCCCCCGCCCCCTCTGTCCTCTCCTATGCTCTGCACCTTGCTACGCTGGCACAGGAACCCTACGCTTTCTCCTTTCTCTCTCGGCATCACTTCCTGCAGCCTTTACACCGCACTGCGCATGCGCGTTCTTTTGCCCATTCTCTCCTCTCCTACGCTTCCCCTTTCACCTGAAAACGCTAACGTAGGCATCGGCTGCTAGCAGGATTCTTGATTGAGAAAACTGACTGCTCGCACTGCAGAACCGTTAGCTGTCCTTAGATGAATATGTAGACCTTAGATCATTACGTCCAAGGTAGTGCCGGTAGGATGTTTCTCCAGTGCTTCACATCTACACATAGTTCCTTTTACAGAAAGATGGTGTAATTATTCAGTTGCAATGTTTTATTAAATATATTAAAACATCATATCTATGATGAAAAAACGACAGGGAAGCTGTGATGGAGGCCTGCAATAAACACTTTCGCGTTAAAAAATTCGGCAGATCCCACGCCTTGAGGAAATTTCTTTAATGCGGAACAGTCGGCGAGGAATGTTTTAAATGCGCGGCAGCTTATGGCGGAGTTTAGTCCGCTGTGCGGCGTGACCACCTTCACAACGCGGGCGCCAACTTCTTGCTTGAAGGCGAGAAGATAAGAGACCCTCTCCTCATCCTCAAAGGGCGAGAGGGGGGAGAGACAGAACATGCGCATTGGGTGAGCAAACGGTCAATGAGAACCATCTCCTCGCATAAGCAGGAAAGCCGGGAGGAGGTGGGTTCAAGGACGTGGCAGAGCCCTGCCTTCTCGTCATTTCTCCTCCAGCGTTTCTCTCCACCCTAGCTGTGCGCTCGTATATGATACTGCGCGCGCTCACTTCAATGCACAATCCGAACGGCGCGGGGCGTTCACTTTGTGGCACACACACACGGACAAAGGGTTGGGTATAACCTTAGCTTGTACGCAACATATACACAACTCTACCCACAAATGGAACATACACGAAAGCAAAGAAATTGAAACAATAAATTTTAGCACAAGTGAACACCAATGCTGCTTCGCATCACCACATGGTAACCTCTTGTGGGAGATGGTGTAACATTTTTTAAGTATAGCAGTGCGCAGATCGTATTAGTTGGCATGATGTTCAAGGGACATATGGCATTCTGCGGAGAGAGAAATGAATTTTGGTCAAAGGAAACTCGACAAAACGTGGTAGTCAATAAAGGCCTTATCACTTCCCTCTTTCCAGTTTGCGTGATATCTACAAAAGGATCCATCGCGCCATGGGCATCCTTGAATTCTTCGTCACACACGAGTGGACCTTCAGTGTTGACAACCTCAGACTCCTCATGGCGAGCCTCGAAGGGCCTGATCGCGAGGTGAGTAACACCTTTACAATGCTCTGGGTGGCATTCTTATTCGGGACGCCTGCCTAATGCTGATGGCATTGTATGACTTATAGTGATCACTGAGTCGCAAATTTCTTGTGGCGCCGTATTCACAAACGCTCCTCGACATGACTTCCACCTCAACTTCGTGGAGTTGAGAAAAAAGCTTTTTTTTAAGTCTAGGCATAAGTTGGAATCAAGAAACTGTTGAAAAATCAATGTTTTCTCTTACAAGGAGCCTTTCTCGCAGGCGTCCTGCACTTGAACGCATTTCATAAATGCACGGAGAGGAATCTGTGGCAAAATATACTGTTCAGTGCATTTCTTGATCACAAAAACAAGAACGTTTCTTTTCATTTTCTATTCTTAATATTAGTAAATGTCTGAGTCAGGGGTACAACGAAGGAAAAGGTCATCGTGAGTTCTGGCCCTTACAAAATTCTTATTCAAAAACAAAGAGAGGTTATTCAGCAATGACAAGAGATGGCATCGTAAATACATGATGGTTCAATCAAAATACTGTTGAGAAAATTGTTTATCAAGATATAAAATTGGCTCACGGCTTTCAATTTAAAAACCATCAATAAACTCGATAAAGAAACAACAGAAATATTGTTTGTGGAATACTTCCTCAATGGTATTTCAATAAAAACGAGCCGATGAAATGTTTTTTTTATTTGAAAGCACTCAACAGAATTATTGTCGACGAAATATTGAAGAAAGTCCATGAGTATTGAGGAAGAATTGATGATTACTAGAGTCAATCATTCAATCATAGCCCAACACACACAACAGGCCCTCAATGAGTGTCTTATCCTAACTGTTTTCTTTAATGGGAGATGGCATAATGTCTTGGTGTCGATGGATACTATGGGCCACGCTGACGCTTCGCGTATAGTCGCCACCAGATGGTGTCTCAAGATGTTAAAATTGTACTTATGCTGTGCGAACACCCTGAAGAGGGTGGACGCCTAAAAGCTACGCATTGAAGGAACTATTTGTATATGTCGCTTTCCGTAGCGCACTGTGCGAGGGCAGTCTTAGATGCAAAAGACGTTTTTATGGCAACAGAGTCTGAGACCACGGTGCACTGGGTAGCGTAAGAAGTTGACTTGCTGCTGTTGCGACTCCGGGTCCCGTGGGTCTCATTCTGGTAGCGGGCCCCCATCCTAGGGCCCATCGTCTAACAAGTCAGGTGATGCGCTCGTAAGAACAGCAATTTATTTACATCGTAAGTAACTGAGAATTTGAAAGGAGGTGATCAAGTCATCAAGTAAGTATGAGCTCGTGGCAGAACTGAACAAGAACTAGAGCTCAAGAACTCTAACTGAAAATGTGCAAAAGGTCGTCCGCTTATATATATACCGCCGCGTTGCCAACCCTGGGCTCATTGGTCGCAGCTTCAGCCAATACAGTGCTCGACGGTCTAGGTGCTCCACCAACGGAGGCGGGGAAAGACACCACACAATGCACGTGTAGAGGGCAGGGTCTACAAGTGGCCCAAATATAGTCACGAGCGCACTGCAACAACGTTTTGCACATGTCACCCAGATTTTGCTCACGTCCGATGATCCTAGATGACCTTGGTTTCCAAGAACCCTTCCGGCAAGTAGGGTGAGGTTCGAAAGACTGGCTCCCAGTGCACGTGCCAAACTTGCCTGACTGCGTGCGGGTAGGACAATGTAGTGGCCTGACAGCTTACCGTCAAAACATGCCACTCTATTCAGCCGATCCTATGAAAAGAGGGGGAAGGAGAAGTGGCCGACTAATCCCCCGTAGTTTTGTGCCTGCCGCATGAGCGCCGCCGCGCCCACCGTGCCCTCCCGCTTTACTCTCAGGATTCTGCCCCTCAACGCCGCTTGGCGGCTCTGCGCTATTAGCCTCTAGGAGGCGACGCTCACCGACGCTCACGTGCGGGTTTTCTTGCGCTTTTTAGATGCGGAGCATCTTATACTCGCGCCTTGTAGTGCGCCGTCCGCACCGCTTCTCGAACATTCGACAGCTGACGCGCGCGCATGCGCCGTCGCGCCGTCGCCCACTCTTCCACCATCTGTGCATCCCTTCCTCCTCTACACACCGCGCGCGCTTCACTCCTCCACCATCTGTGCACCCTTCCTCCTCTACACACCGCGTTCGACATTTACAATTCCCCTGATTCTCCAGTGGACGCGCATGTGGCGTCGCGCTTCGAGAACATTCAACAGCTGACAGTTCATGCGCCGTCGTGCTGTATATATACTCATGGTCGGCGCTCGCTCGCTCAGTTGCCGCTCGTCGGTTGGTTTGTACGGCGCGTCGACGTCCAAAATCGCGGTGAAATGAATTCCAACGAATCCACATACACAATGATCGACGTCCCTTCGACCAGCGCCGCCCTTTCGCATACGTGTGTACGTGTTCACTCATTTAACACCCCCTCCTACAACCACGTTAACCAATTTAGCCATCGACCCAAGTAAGTCGCAATTTAACACCCCATTTCACAACCACGTTAACCAATTTAGCCATCGACCCAAGTAAGTCGCACTTTAACACCCCGTTAACCAATTATATGGTCCGCATCCTCCTCAGTGTTCCCCCGAGGGAAGCTGCGGGCAATTTTTTTGTCATCTGCTTAGAGTAATCGCGAAACTTGCTCGGAGTTGTTTCCATCACGTTGAAAAGTAGTATTCACGTGTAATAAATATAAATGTGAAATAAACTGTCAATAGGCCTCTCACCAGAATGATAATTCGCGTCCCAGTCACCTTGCAGACGACAAGTTTACGCCGTTGTTTGGTCGCAGTGGCAGTTGTAGGTCTGTCTGTTTGCTTCAGCGGTGATGGCATCCTGATTTTTCATCGATCGCCATGCGCTGCTGCTGCGTTCCGTTCTGCACTTCCAGCCAGCGAAAGAAAGAAGCAGGTGTGTCCTTTCACAAAATTTCAGCGAACAATGAGCTACGTAAGCGATGGCTACGAGTTATCGCGCAAAGGTACTGGGTGCCTATTTCCACTTCGAATCGCTCGGCCGTGTGCAGTCTAAATTTTGTGGAAACTGACTTTAGGGAAAATACCAAAAGACGCATGCTAAAGCCCGATGCGGTGCCGAGTGCCTTTCCGCATTACCCATCCTTCATGAGGAAGGAGCCATCAAAGATAAAAAGCTGCAGCGGCACAAAGCGCAATTCCTCAACGAACACGTTGGCAAGTGTGCCAAGTCTGGAAATCGATTCGCGCCCAGCACTGGCGCCGGAAAATCGCGCAAACACGCTTGACCAAGCCACTGAGCCCAGTAGGCGGCAACAGCCAGAAAGTGTTGCTCCAAGTGACATCAAAGACTTGCGTAAACGTCGCTGCAGCGGAAATATCAAGTGGGCAACCAAAAACTCGAGAGCCTCATCCCGGCGACCCAAGCCGCAGTTTGTTTCTGGCGTTCGATCAGAGTCACATCCTCAAAAACATCCGATAACAATTTCTGGCACGAGAATTGGGAAGAAATGGCAAAATTTCTTCAACCTACATAAAGGACTATACAAGATGCAGCGGGGCTCGATTATGAAGCCCGTCTGTTTTCTCACGAGGAAAAACGTCTATCCGTAAAATATGGAAAAAAATGCTTGTCGACCCTGCCGTCCAGTTGTTTTCACCAGCCGTGACAGCGGCTTTGTTCTTCACATAACATCATGCCTAGCACACGTGCGATGCAAAGTTCGCCAGCATCAGCCCAACGGTTGAGTTCATGAATAATGTGAGCTGATGGTTTACTCTCATGGACGTGACCAACTGCCAGCAGCATATAATTTACCAGAACTGTTCGGACACCAGGCAGTTTGATGATCCTGAGGACTGTAGACTTCATTGGCTGGAACTTGTTTTTTTAGAATACATTGAAGAGCTCAAGATGGCAAGCGCACCAATGAACTTCCTAACAAAAGAAGCTCACCAAGCACTGGTATTCACCACAGTCGCCAACGTCCAGTTATCAGGTTTATGTTAGATAGAGGGTTCAAATTTGTGTTGAGTAGAAAGTTTTCGAGCGACCCCATCGAATCCCTGTTTGGGACGCTGCGACGCAGCGCTGGCTGCAATGATATGCCTAATGCCAGGAGCGCTCTTTCGGGCCTTGAGAAGATGCTGAAGACATGTTTTGTTTCGGCTTCCCACCTAAGCTATGTGCAGAGCTCGGCTTCGTTCGCTTCCTCGGGGAGTATTATTAAGAGCGGCGAGTCAAGCAGCACATCAACAACAAGCGCGGTCGCAGCAGTGAACTAGGTGCAGCACCTACACAGGAACTTTGCACTTCGACGAAGCCGTTTATGCCCACGCCAGTTATAGCAGCAGTTCCTTTCATCGCAAGATACATATCTGGCGTCGTGAGTGAACAGACTGACTGCGAGCGCTCCTTGTCGTTAGTCTTGACGGCAAAAGGGAGCAGCACCAGTGCTACGGATGGCTTAATTTCCCACCAGGACAGAGGTGGCTTGTGCTACCCCACTGCGGTAGCTCGTGCGTGTGCTGCATGCCCTGAAAAGATTTGGGGACGTGATGCTTCCGCACCGCGCAGCTCTCCTTAAGCCTCTACAGACGTGCGTCGTGAAGAGTGTGGATGTAATTGTTGGCCTACCAGTAGTGCTGTGTGACCGTTGGGACCAAATCCGAAGGTGTAAATTAATAGAACTTGTGCGCAGAAGTTTCATGAAGCTGCTGTTCACAAACTATGCTGTCGATATCACCAATAAAAAATCTGTGACCAGGCTTTATCAAAGGAAGCCATTATCATGGAAGTTTTTGAAGCTTTAAAAAGCTTGCACGACACACGCAAGCCTTCAACGTTGAACTGACAAGAGGTTTTAGTTCAACCCGTTGTTTCTGAACTTGTACTGACTCATTTATTTTTATTTTTGTCTTTTTTGCATATAAAATTGCTATGTCTTGTTTCATTATTTCAACCTGTGAATTCCACCTATATTTCGATCGGGATCGATATTCGGCAGAGCACACCTTCGAGCGCTTGCAAACAAAAAAATAAGACACCTTACGAGGCGTTTTTTAGTAGTATGTTACCAAAAGAAACGCACGAATTGCGAAATTACCGAACACAAAGGAAAGTAATGCATAAAATTGGAAAAAGCCAGTGACTGCGCCGCATCCACCCACAGCAGTCAAGCAAAGTGAGGCCACGCGAGAGGGTAATAACGTGACGCCACCACGCGGTCACTTGGAGAAATAGTGTCAATCGAAGAGCAATAGGAACGGGCGCGACGCAACTGGCACAGAGAAAACAGAGGAGGCGCTGTTTTGAGTGACGCTGGGGGTGGTATACGGCCACCGTCATACACAACACAAACAGTAAACGGGCTCACTTTCAAAGCCCACAGTGCAATACACGCGGAGGACATCGCTATCGCTCTCGCTCTCACCTATCTATTTTCGAAACATATCACCACCGATTCGCAAAAGGCCTGTCGAAACTGTGAGCTAGGCAGGACTCCCCCACTTGCTCGGCGCATATTGTAACCTAGCTGCCAATACGTTGATTCAACGCCGTGTAATATTTCTTGGGCACCCCGTCACCAAGGACTCAGGGGAAACAGAGGCTGATCAGGCAGCCCGCGCACTCTCTTCCCGGCCTTTCTCTCAGTCTTTGGAAGCCTACTCCCAATCATACAATTCGGCCTTTTCATTCAAAGATATTATCAATCGCTACAAGGAGGAGCATCACCGCTATTCGGACCCTTCTAAGGAACGGCATCACGCTGACGAGCGCCTCCTTTTAAAACTGTTTACTAATACTGTATTCTGTCCGGCGGTGCTAAAACATTGAAAGCCATTATTTGATGGCACGTTCCAGTTCTGAGAATAGGAGGCTGACATTTTGCAAATAGTCTGGGCGTGGTAGTCAGATCCACCTACCCCTCCCCCCCCCCCCCCCCAACCTCACGAGAGAGGATAGAGAGGAGGCCCTGCTCGGCTGTCAGTACCTGAAAGCCGTAATGGCCCTGGTTCAACGGACGCTGGTGGCGTTGCTTTCTACTGGAGCTCTAGAATAGTGGTTCCACCTAGGGCTGAAAGAAAAGGAAGCCAATTAGACCCCAACTCAATCACCTCTCTATAAATAATGAATGGTTAGTAAGTGTTTTGACCACCACCACCCCGATATACGAACCCGCGTATGGGTTGAACAAAGAAAAACTCGTTCTCGCAATACATCCTTCAGGGTATGCTTAATGTGTTCAAGCAGTTACCTCGTTATCCTGTAGTAGCGCCAATCAGAATTGTCGCAATTTTCGTTATGGCTTCATTAGGCCCCAACGATGGAAGCCTGAACAGATAAGAACAATGTCGGAGTGGCACCTAAGAGATTTTGTTTATCTAAAATCGGTCTTTGTCGAGACGCTATTTTTATCTCCGTACAGTGCAACCAAAAATGTTTAGTGAACTTTGAACTACTTGGAACTTAGTCGCGAATCACTTAGAGTGCACTATGCACTAGATAAAGGTTTTGTTTTGGATCTGTATTAGTCTTATGTTGAATGAGCACGTGTACATGTAGTTTTCTAAGAAAACCTTACCAACACAAGCAACAAACGTGTGCTTTGTTTTTTACTTGTTTTTTTGTTATTTGTTGCACTGATTTTTCACTAACGTCAAACTTCGAAGCCCTGCATCATGGTGGTTATTACCATGGAGAAAAGCTTCTGCCTTCGGAAGAGTTACACCAAGGAACAGTAGGGTATTTTGTGAATGCACTGATTAGTTTCGTCGGTCTCTTTTTTTTTGTGAATAGGAATGTGAATATGATTTCATGAATATTTAGAAAAAGCACTGTTGATTCCTCCACTTATTCAGTCTTTTTTTTCAATTGCAGACCTTCGACTTTGACATTCGCTCTATTGACTGGGTAGCTTATATGGAACAGTACATACTGGGTGTTCGTAGGTACGTTTTGAAAGAAGACCCTTCGACCATTCCAACAGCCCGGAGAAACCTTAACAGGTGAGTGTAAACACATGCCTTTTAATGTACAAGTAGGCTTCGTCTTAATAGCGTACTAGAGATTAAAGCAGTGTAAGATGGTGTTAAATTTTCCTGTGGCTAATCTGACTCTTGTCACTGTTTAAAATGTTTCGAAACCCATTTCTTAGGTGTTTGAATGGTGGACTTTATGCTATAATGCACGCACTCTCACTTTGTGAAGGTCGCGCGTGTGCTCAGTGGGCAACCTCTCAAGAATTTTAGGGGTAAAGTACAGTGTCAATTTTTATAGAAGGGAACACGAGAGCGCGCGGCCTGAGCACTCCGTCGGCTGCTAACAGCGTCTTCAAATGCGATCGATAGCAACCATAGTTTATTCTTGCGTCATCTCGCGGCGAGCAAAACAAGCAGTCACTGCTTATGTAGAACAGCTGGCAAGAATGCTACACCCTCCTCCTTCAAGGCGACTACGCAAGAGCTGGGGATCGCATTAGACGGGGAGGGGGTCGGAATTTTTTTTGCTGGTTCCATATCATCAGTGAGTGGTTGTTCTGCTCACCGCGAGATGACGCGAGAAAAGAATCTGGTTGCTGTCGCTTCTGCTTGAATGCGCTGTTAGCAGCCGCCAGAGGGCGCAGGCAACGTGCTCCCGTGTTCCCTTTCATAAAAACTGGCCAATCTGGCCCAAGCGTGCGTCTCCCAGCTGCCTCGTCATTGCGCGATCGGGCGTCGGTTTCAGAATCGCTGCTCCCAAGAGGATCGAACCAAAAATGATTCACCACGTTGCGAATCTCAGCGATTCAATATTCCCCAGTGTTTTCATTGTCGCTTGTGGACGTGGGTACGACGGTGACGTTAATGGGGGTGGCAAAGACATGCCTATACTATAGGGCCTAGAATATGGTATGTTCTGGGCGCTATACACCTGCACGATGAGCAGAGGACATATCTAATGAAAAAACTTGAGAGTTTCGTGTGACCACGTGATCAGATGGGGCGGAACCGCTGTAGGGCACCACTTGGCCGCGCTGAAATTTCGCGGGCTTTGCACTCGTCTTGAATTGGGTTCAATACTGGTTGTACCTAATAATTTTACACATATTATTTGGCCCCTCTGTCACATTATTACAACCGAATCCTTACTAGGTGATCAATAACTACAGCAGACAAAAAAAAAACGTGGCAGGCGTGAAGTTGATAGCACTGCTCCTTTTCTTTGAAGATGCGTATCTGCGACAAGGTTATTTTTGTGGAAGACACTACGCAACGTTGATACCATCACTGTAGACGAGCGAAAGGGCGAGTGCTCTCACTCGCCATGAAAGGAAGGAGAGCAGGTGTATCTGCGAGAAGGTTCATTCTTGTGGATGACATTAGCGAATGTTAACGCCAATGTTGCGGACTAGTGAAAGACCGAGTGTTCTCGCCATTGCAGAAGGGAGAGCACTTAAATCTGCGAAAAACTTGTTTTTGTGGATGTCATTACCAATATCTCATTCCAACACTACAAGCCAGCGAAAGGCCGAGTGCGCCTTCTCGCCGTGACAGGAGGAAGAGCAAGTACCGTAATTACTCGAATCTAACGTGCACCTTTTTTCCGGTTAAGCGAGTTCATAAATCGCATGCGCGTTAGAATCGAGTACGAACAAAAAAATTACGGTCAATCTATTGCCATCGGCAAACCCGAAATGGCCGCCCCCTACGTGCGTCGGCATAGCGCGTCGGCCATTTCTGCCTATGTGTTTCCCATGCGCGGCACTTGGTACGTGTGCTGAGGAGTTCGTCATCTAGTAGTGCATTTGAATCGACGGCGTGGATGGGCCGACTCCCAAAACTCGAGTGCACCACGATGCCGCTTTTAAAAGAAAAGTCATCGCGTGTGCAGAAACGGACGGAAATTGGGCCGCATCGCGGTCGTTCGGAGTTCCCGAAACGTGCGTGCGGGACCGGCGGAAACAAAAGCAGAAGATTGTCGACAGCAAAACTTCACGCAAAGGCTTCTGTGGACCACACCAGGGTCGGTTTCCGCAAATTAAAGGGCTGCACGGCGAGTATGTGCTTGAGCAGCGAGTCGCATAGCGGCCCGTGACGACAGAACTGCTCCAAGTGCGGGCTATGCAATTAGTCTTAGAAAAAGGTCTAATGCGGAGCCAGTTTTAAAGCGAGCAGGTGTTGGCTAAGTAACTTTATGAAGAGGAAAGGCTTTTTCCTCCGAAGGGGAACATGCATATGCGAAAAGTTTTGCGGAAGAGTACGATGAAAAGCTTCACAGTTTTCAGAGGTTCGTCCTAAACTTGCGGCGCAACAACGGCTACCTGCTTGGGCAAATCGGTAATGCCGATCAGACGCCTCTTTACTTCGACATGCCTGGCACCACAACCGTCGAGAAGAAGGGGGCGAAGCAAGTTCGCGTGCTGACATCGGTCCACGGTAAAACTACAGTGACGGCAATGGTCTGTTACACGTCAGATGGGCACAAGCTTCGCCCGTACCTCATATTTAAATGGAAGACGCTCCCGAAAGGAGTCGTTTTTTCGAGTGGTGTGATCGTGCGGGCCAGCGAGAGAAATGGGTGCGCGTTGCAATTGATGTCTTACTTTTTTTTTCGCGGTGGAAATCGGGTGCGCGTTACAATCGAGGGCGCGGTAGAATCGAGTAAATACGGTATATCTGCGAGAAGGTTTTTGTAAATGGCATTACCCAATATTGATGCCAGCGCCGCAGACTAATGAAAAGCCGAGTGCTCCCCCTTGCCGTGAAAAAAGGGCGAGCACACGTATCGGCGAGAAGGTTGGTTGTTGTGGATGACTTAATCGAATGTATATGAGCACGCTGCAGACTAGCGAGATACCCAGATAAGAGAGGGGATGATTTATTGTGAGTCAACCGTCATTCTGACTTACTTCTCTCATTCTTGCACACTGTTGCGCGAGTGGAGCACTTGTCAGCATGGTGGGTCCTTCAGTCACTTTTACATTCTGCGATACAGTCTTCTAAAACGCTTCTTGATTGACCTTACAACATGGTGGGTGCTGTATGCTTCCTCCTCTGCCAACCGCTCCTTCAGAGGTTTCGTCGGTGGTTGTCTTATTCTTGCATTATGCCCGTTCTTCATTCAACAACTAGTGGGTTCGAGAATGCTCAACAAAATTTTTGATAGTCATTACGTAGCGGCCCGGTGTATTGCTAACCGAAGAACATTGCATTTGAAACACACGTAGGATTCAGACAAATAGTCAACTGTTGTAGACTTTGTAGAGGAAGTCCTGGTCTTTTTTCTCCTGTTTGTGTTTACGCATAAGGGAGCCGCACGAGCACGTAGCAGTGAGATGTTTGTGCACTCATGTGGTCGGTCGTCTGCTTCGGTGCTGTGTCCGCCAACAAGCATCAAAATAGCAGGTGATCTGAGGCGAGTGTGATGCCGCAATGCCATGTCCCTGCTTTATCGTCTTATTTTGGATGATGTGAGCACACCGTGGACCCATGCAAAGCAAAATCAAATCTGGCTGTAGAAAATTGGCTAATACTATACTCTATAGCTTCCCAGCGCGTTATACATACTTAGATCTTTGTAACATCTGGTTACTCTTGTGGCCATTTAGAGCTATACGTTATTGATCTACCGTGAATATAACAGACTCAGAAATATGATTTACCGGCAATTAACAGCCGATACCTTACGTAGGACAGATGCATGCTGCACTGCACGCTCTGCGTCCTTACCAAACAAACTGGTAAACAGGGTAAGGCATACCTTCTCGTAAGCCTAAACAGCATGTCGACCCCTCTCCTTAACAGCCACAATGAAAAGGGCACACAGAACAAACCAACCTCCTGGACGGCCTTGTGTAGCACCGCCTCAGAGCCGGCCCAAAGGTGAGCTTGCCAGAATACCGGTGACCCGAGCAGTCATTTGCATGCTTCGCCTGCCAAAAATCACGCCGCGAGCTTGTCATGATGTACAGTGGAGCGCCTAGGCTACGCATGCTCATACCAGACATAAAAAAGACGTAACATGAGGGTGCCTTGACAACGCAGTCGCAGGAAGGAACCTAGCAACTATGGGCAATGTTTTCTGCGCATCTCTTACGCCAGCTCTCCGCGATACACTGCCAGCTGGACTTCGTTACGCCTAGCAGTGTTACGTCGTTTTTGGTCGTGGTTCCTGTGGATGTTTTGTGTGCCTTATTGCCTTTTTTTTATTTCAGGATCTACTACATTGGAATGTTGGTCCAGCTGCTCTTCGTGGCTGGCGTTATCCGACTTCTGGTGAAGCACACGAGAACATTCAACGACCTTTGGTGGAGCCTCATCTCTCACATTCTTCAACTTTCAGTACGCATCTCCCTGGCCATGCAGTCTGTTGCATCCCGCCACTGAAATATATGTCAAGATTACACACCTTCTGCTTTTATTTTCTAATAAAGGTATAAAAATGTTCATGCCACCGCTATCTTTCCCATTGTTAATTTCTGTATATATAACAGCTAACTCACACATATAAATAAGTTATTTCTAATGTTTCTACAGTAACTACCTTGCTTTATGCTGTCACTAATCTTTTTATCAAGGACAATAAATCATAAAAGCGATTTCAAGAAAGTTTAATCTCAAACGTGGCAACCAGGCAGGCAAATATAGAAGCTACATCAAAAACAAGACCTAAGGAAGAAACATGCAGTACGATCACTCGCGTACCACTCAAAAATTTATTGTGCAGAACCATTTTTTTAAACTCTGTGACAGCAACCAACGGAATTGATTGGCATAACCACTTCGAGAAATCAAGTCAAATCACATTAGAAGTGAGTCTCTAAGACGTAATTTAAAAAAAAAGACACAAACACACTATTAGAAAAAATACCGTACGGGGCTAGTAGTTAGTCATATAAATAAATACATAAAGGTTCGGAACACACAAGAATGGTCATGAAGTGCTTAGTTTTACACATATGCAAGTTTCAGCGATGTACTGTATAAATTCACGAATAGAAATGTTTCACAAGACAAGCAAAAAAACATTCGCAAGCAAGGTTAAAGTTAGGCGTAGTTTTTATTCCAGAGGCACAGTGTTCAAGATGACAGCTCCAAAGAATTCCGGTAATCAATACAGAGAGGAAAAAATAAATTTAATGCACTTGTTTGCCTGATGATTCTGCGCAGAAAGTTGAATATGGTGCCAGGTGGTGAAAAAAGTGTGTACAGTTGTGAACTGGGCAACTTGCACCTTATCGTGGCAGTTCCACTGTCGCCATCTTGCCAGTAGCGGCGAAAATGACACCAGGTGCCGTCACTAAGTCAAGAATAAGAGGACAATGATTCGGAGGTCAAACTCTCGAACTTGTGCTGGCCCGTCACACTGGATAAAAAGATGGAAAGCGGCCGAAATGAAGCATTCAGCAGGGTTTTTTTTGTCTCACTTTCAACACCTCTACCTTTGCCCCTAAATGCTATGCTCACTTGTCCTCGCTCTCTGCGGCGTGGTGCTACTTCACGCGCGGGAGAATGGCGCTGCAAACCGCTCAAGTTTAATTTTGGTTTGCAGGTTGTCGACTGGTTCTGCCTCACTGGCCAGCTGCCCTCCACTACAGAAAGTGCCGGAATGCGCGGCTGGCTGACAAACTCTCTCGTAGAAGTCGCATCACGATCGAACCATCAGACATCCTTCAGTGTACATGTGTAAATCATTCCCCGCTGTAGCTTAGTTCTGCCTCGTTCAATGATGGCCATCTTTCGGTTGTAATAATGTTGAGCCAGACAGTGGTCATCATAATGAAATGCCCTTTTCTTTTTATTAATTTTTGTGTAGTTAACAGCCACTCATTGATCACTCTTTACCATGACACCGACGATAACTGTCTTTTGAAGAGGACAGCTCAATCCAGAGCACACACGGAAAAGAAACTGAAAAGGTAAGAGAGCGGGAGAAATGTGCAAGGAAGGGGGGGACTGCCCTACCTTCTTTGTGTAGCCCAAACTTGTGCGGACGCGCCAAATGGTTGAAGAGAAGGCGCGAAGAGTGCTGCGATGAAAAGTTCTGTTCCTGCTCACGGCAAGTCATCTTTCCACCCACTTTTCTTTCTTCACATTTACCTTACAATTTTGTCTGTAGTGAAGAGGAATGCCCACTACCGCAGCGACATCGGCACGTTGGCGTGAGGCGCGAGCTGGAACTGCCTGGTTGCTACTGCGACGACGCCCGTATATCCGGCCAGCTCTTGCTGTATCTGTCTTGGCGCTGCTACCGCTTATCGCCTTGCATTTACAATATATTTTGGTGGAGGTGGGGCGGTTTTCCCCGACCCTGGCATTGCGTAGCCGAAAGCTGCCGTCCGTCATGCCTGAAGACGCTGTCTTCACACACCTCCGGGCTTGGCCTCCCAGGGGCTGTCCCGGTGCCCAGCTCCTGCGTGAACCCGACATAGTCAGCGGCACAGACGAGAAAGACGTGGAGGATTGGCTGGAATCCTACGAATGAGCCAGCGCTATTAACAAATGAGATTACGCCATGAAACTAGGTACCGTGATGTTTTATTTGACGGATGTCGCCAAGCTGTGGTAGAGAAACCACGAGACGGACATTCCTACTTGGACGACCTTCAAGACCTGCATAACAGCTGTTTTTGGACGCCCTGGGGTGCGCAAACTTAGTGCAGAACAACGACTACGAAGCCGGTCCCAACAAACTGGTGAGACATTCACCAGCTACATCGAGGACATCTTCGACCTCTGCCGGCGTGTTGACCCGACGATGCTGGAAACTGACAAGGTACGACACATTATGAAAGGCATTTCTGACGACGCCTTTCAAATGCTCCTCTCGAAAAACCCTGCCACTGTCTCGGAACTCATCGAGCTGTGTCAGAGTTTTGACGAGCTCCGACGACAACGTCTTCTCACGCGACGCGCTAACGTCCCGGATGACACCCTGTCAAGCTTGACAACCATCTCTGCCCATCACTCGCTGCTATCGGACATCAAAGAGTTTGTCCGCGCTGAGGTGGCTCGTCAGCTGTCCCTGCTATTAACACGCGGCCAACCACCATCACATCTGCCAGCAAACATTCGTGAGGTGATTCAGGAGCAAGTTTGCGCAGCTCTGCCACCTGCCCGCGACACCTCGTCATTGTCGACCCCTGTGGCTTGTGTCGAGGTGAATGCACCTCTAAGCTATGCTGAGGTTACCGCAAGGCCACCTCTTCAGACTTTTAGGTCACTACCATCAGCCGTGCCCACTCCTCGGTTTGCTCAGCCAAGGTCCCTCCAGAGTAGTGGACAATGGCGTACACCCGACAGTCGGCCGATATGCTTTGCCTGTGGGTTGCCTGGCCACATAGCGCGATACTGCCGTCGGCTAGTCCCTGCCTGTCAGCAGAACTACCACCAGAGCTTCGAACCTGTCCCTTATGTGCCACCGCGCCCTTCGTTCACAGGCTCTCAGCATCCCGACCAGATGTCATCGTACGCCGACCACCACCCTACTGTTAACCGTCGCTTAATTCACCTCGACGCCGCTCGTCATCGTCGATGCGTCGTTGTCCTTCTTCGCCGGAGCGGGAAAACTAATTGCCGCAGTTCCAGAGGCAGGAACTGCGACACCCGCGAAAAGACCAAGGCCTCTCTCTTCACCGACGAATGTACTGGACGTATATGTGGACGGCGTCGCTGCACTCGCTATGGTCGACACTGGTGCCGCAGTTTCAGTGATCAGTGTCAGACTCAGCCGCTTGCTCAAAAAAGTTATGACGCCACAAGCAAGTATATCGCTTCGTACAGCAAGCGCAGAGAACGTCACGCCGGCCGCTGCCTGTACTGCTCGCATTACGATTGACGGCCTCATCTATGTCGTCGAATTACTAGTGTTCGATTCCTGCTCTCATGACCTCATTTTGGGCTGGGACTTTCTTTCCGCTAATAAGGCCGTCATCGACTGCTCGCGCTGTGAGGTGGCATTTGAAGTGTTTAGCGACGTCTACTTTGCATGACGGTGTTGAAACCGAGGACAAGCTATTTGTTGCTGAAGACGTTACCATACGGCCGCTCTCTTTTGCCCTTGCCATGGTGTCTTGCAACGTGCTCGCCGAGTCAGGTGCCCTTTTCACGCCACCTGCCGTTTTTGTTCGTCACAAGTGCTCGCCGCTACCTCATGCTCTTTTGAAACTTCATGACGGTGTCAGCAGAATGCTCATCTCAAATCTGCTGCCATGTCTTTAACACTACTTCGGGGCGAGTGCGTCAGGGCGTGTTTACAGTCTCGACCCTTCTGTAATTATTGATATGCCGACTGGTTCTTTCGCCGAACACGAAGTCGCTGGATTGACCTGTGCTTCTTCGCCGCAGACTACTAGACCTGACGTATTGAGCAGTTCCATCGCCTACACGTTAACCGTTTCGCAACGTGCTCAGCTTCTACGACTCCTGAACAAGTTCCGTTCTTCCTTTGACTGCCAGCATTGTCCCCTAGGTCGCATATCAGCTGTTTGTCAGCGCATCGACACGGGCACCAATCAAGGAGGATACATAAAACTTGCTGGAGTGGAAGCCGCCTATGCGCCGCTACGGGAGAGAGTGAAGCCGCGCCGAGCGTGCGGCTGCCATGTTGCCAGTGGCAGAAAAGAGCCGAGCGCTTCAAATTTATGCTTCATCGCGCTGCGGGTGAAGTGACTCGTGTGTTTATTGAGCAACGAAAACAGGTAATTCTGGTTGGAATGTTTATTGCGACTTGTACGCAGCCAAGTGGCATTTAGAGAACTTAATTAAAGTGCATATGCATTAAATAGCGATGCCTATAAGCAAACACATCATCGAAAACATAGGTGCCCGACTGGTGATTGAAAATTATTGCCCTTGTCAAAAGTGGTCCCACCTTACTTTTGACCGATTTTCGTTTTTTTTTCCTTCGTGAAGTGTTGCATCCTCACTTTTACGTATTGTTCGGCAATTTGCCTGCACAAACTGTAAACCTGATTATCAAGCGTATCAAAGTCTAGGACGTGTTGCTCTAGTTTATGGAATCAGTTTTACTCGGAGGAAGCTCATAGAACTTTCAGGATGAGGTGTTTTGCTCTTGACCTCACCGTTGTGATGGAATCACATTCAGCCTGTAGCCGCCTCAGTCCTCGACTTTTTTATAGAGGCTAATGACATCTCGCGACAGTGAAACAAGACCACCTTGCCTCTTACATATATTTAAAGGTGTCAGCTCATCTGAGTGCATGGCTGCTATGCACTCTTCACAGGTAGTTGCAGTTTGACCTGTCGAACAATGAAGCCTGCTATGTATGGCACCACAGAACCGACAAAAACAAAAAGGCTTTTGGGGCTAGTCAATGCGATGCGTATTGTTGTGGTCATCGGGCTGCAGGACTGGAGTCTTGCGCATGTCAGTGAGATTGCTTCTATCGACCATGACTGCAGGAGTTGTTGCATTCAATACGGAGAGAAAATCTTG